CGAATACGAAAATCATTTTAAGCAAAATACTACACGCGATCAATCAGGCAGATTTATCGTAAAACTACCCCTAAAACCCATTTTCATCAAGTTGGGTGAATCTGAACAAACCGCCATTAACCGGTTGTATAGTATTGAACGACGATTAGCCAAAAATCCCGAACTCGAACAATCATATCGAGAATTTATGCAGGAATATCATAATCTAGGTCACATGACCGAAATACCGCGCGATTATCCTTCAAAAACACCGATCTATTATATTCCTCACCACAGTGTTGAAAAACCCGATAGTACAACTAAGGTAAGAGTAGTCTTCGACGCTGCATTCAAATCTTCAACGAATTTATCGCTAAATAATGTATTAAAAACCGGACCCACTATTCAAAATGATTTGTTTACAATATTAACTCGTTTTAGAAAACATAATTATGTCTTTATAGGCGACTTGACTAAAATGTACCGTCAAATCCTAATAGATAAAGATGAAAGAAATTTACAACGCATCGTATGGCCCAATTCTCCCGCGCAAGCAATAAAACATTTTCAGCTAAATACCGTCACGTATGGCACGGCGCCGGCTTCATTTCTTTCAACGCGTTGTTTATTTGAAATTTCTTTGAATATTGCCGAAAAATGGCCCGATGAAAGTAAAATAATAAGCTCAGACTTTTACGTGGACGACATTCTCACTGGAGCCTCAACAATCGATTCACTTATTCAATTAAGAAAAAATATTTCGGAAATTTTATCTCAATACGGATTTGAATTAAGAAAATTTCAGTCAAATGATAATAAATTTCTCAACGAAATAAATAATTCGAATCACGGACAGAGTAAATATTGCATTACGGACGATTCATGCGTTAAAACTCTGGGGGTTTCTTGGATACCACATCTTGACAAATTCCAATACAATTCTCAAGATTTATTAACACACAATGACAAGGTTACGAAAAGGTCAATACTTTCATTTATAGCAAAAATTTTTGATCCGCTCGGTATATTAGGTCCTTTATCAATTCGAACTAAATTAATAATACAAAAACTTTGGCAATTAAAGATTGACTGGGATGAAAGCATGCCCAGCCAGCTCTTCTCCGAATGGTCAAACTTAAAAGAGGAAGTATCACAAGTAGGTTTAATGCGTATACCACGACACGTAATTGTAAAACAGCCGAAATTAATAGAACTTCACGGATTTTCGGACGCAAGCGAGCGCGCCTATGCGTGTCGCATTTATGTACGTTCAGTAAACATCGATGATACAATCGAGAGTCATTTATTATGTGCCAAATCACGCGTCAGTCCTCTAAAATCTGGTGCAGCATTACTCGCCAAATTAACAAAAAAATGTGTCGAAGCTTTGAAACTTAATTTTGACCGATTATTTTTGTGGACAGACTCGATGATTGTGTTGTCTTGGATAGCCAAGGAACCTAAATGTTGGAAAACCTTCGTGGCAAACCGCGTTGCGGAGATACAACAGTTGACAAAAAAGGAAAATTGGAATCATATTCCTTCAGAACATAATCCAGCCGATATAATTTCTCGCGGAGCTAATATTAAATTTTTAATAAATTCAAAATTATGGTTAAATGGACCACACTTCTTTACGAAAATCGACGATTGGCCAAAGAATTCAAATAAGTTTATTCCCATTGAGAATATACCGGAATCAAAGGCTAACTCTAAGGTAATTTTAACCATATCAATCGGTCAAGACTTGGAATTATTTAACAAATACTCAAACCTAAACAAATTAATTCGCATCACCGCCTATTGTCTAAGATTTATAAAGAACCTGAAGGTGTCTAGAATTTTAAGACAATTTAGTCAATTGAGTTCCGATGAAATTAAACAGAGTGAAATTGCCCTATTAAAATTAGTTCAAATGAAAGGTTTTTCCCAAGAAATTCATGACTTAAAGGCAAAAAAACGAGTTTCATCGAAAAGTAAATTAAAATGTTTATCGCCATTTATCGACCAGAATGGTCTAATAAGACTCGGTGGTAGATTAAGCAACTCAAAATTTAACTACGATGTAAAACATCCTATAATCCTCTCTCCAAAACATGACTTTACACGTCTTCTAATCGATCGTGAACATAAGCGTACATTACACTCTGGTGTACAAGGCACTTCTAGCTCACATACGACAACAGTTTTGGCCGCTTAACGGTAAACAAGTCGTGAAATCTTATGTGCGTAAGTGCATTACGTGTTTTAAAACAAATCCGCCTATAATAAATCAAAAAATGGGTGAATTACCTAAATTTCGTGTTGAGCCGACTCGTCCATTTCTATCTGTCGCTGTAGATTATGCAGGGCCTTTCGAATTAAAAGATGGAAAAACTCGATCCAATAAAATTATTAAGGGTTATGTTTGCATATTTGTTTGCTTGGCAGTCAAAGCCGTACATATTGAGCTTATCACTGATCTGACTAGTGAAGGGTTTCTAAGTTTATTGAAACGATTTGTCTCGAGAAGAGGTTTTTGCTCACACATTTACAGTGACAATGCAACAAATTTTGTTGGATCTAATAACAAGCTTATTTCGATTAGAAAAATTATAGATTCAACAGATATCCAAAATTATGTCTTACATTCTAATATAAAATGGCACTTCATGCCAGCAAAATCTCCACATTTTGGCGGTATTCACGAAGCGGCTGTGAAATCGTGTAAACATCACTTAAAGCGCGTTTTAAACGGTATTCGCTTAAATTATGAGGAATTTTATACTTTGACTACCCAAATCGAGGCTATATTAAACTCCAGACCTCTTGTACCAATGTCATCCGATCCTAATGACCTCGACGTGATCACGCCAGCACATTTCTTAATTGGGCAGCAGCTAACAGCTATTCCCGAAGAATATCTTCTAAATGACAAGGTCAATTACCTGAAACGCTATCGCCATCTTCAATTGATGGGGCAACACTACTGGTCACGTTGGAGAATGGAGTATATCCATCAATTGCAGCAAAGAAGCAAATGGTATTTAAACGATGATCGAAAAGCACATGTGGGCGATCTTGTCCTACTAAAAGAAGACAACGTTCCCTCCCTCTGCTGGCCTCTCGGTAGGATAGGTGGATCTACATCCAGGGAAGGACAACATTGTGCGTGTGATCAGTGTAAAAACCCAAAACGGTGTGTTTAAAAGGGCACTGACGAAGGTAGCATTGCTACCCGTGAATTGAAATGTGATAAACATGTCGCGTTAATTCTTCATGTTAGAAATATTCATTGTTTGTATAATATTTTGAAAGCAAAGCCTAGCCTTTCAAGGGGGCGAATTATGTTCAGTTTTTATGTACTTTATGAATGTGAGCCAATAGTGGCAACGCCGCACGACACCACGAAAAAGGGAAGAGTGAAAAATCGCGAGAACAGTGGCGAATAAACTGTTAGAGAATTAGGTCGCAAAACGGGGGGATTGTCCACATGTAATTTTTATTTAAATTGGTAGTGTAGAAGTCTATCTCTGTTCCTTTTGAAAATCAGTAAAAGCATTGAGAAGTTCGCGTGGGTGTTATTTCAACAACCAAGCAAGTGAGAAAACCCCAACAATACCTTTTTTATTTAAAAAATACCTAATATTGCCAACAAGTGACGTAATATGGTGAGCTTTAAATTCAACAAGAATTTATACGGCTGTTATTTTAAACCTCGGATATCTCAAAAAGTAAATAAAATTTAGATATAAGATAAATTACAGACTTACCTTAGTTTTCGTCCCAGAATTGATCTGAATGAAAATATAGGGGAATTCACCAAAACGGCACCACTTATTTGGGACACCATGTATAAGCTGAGGCGCATCTGTCAAATTGATTGAGTAGTGCATTATCTCCTTAGTCAGTGGTTAAATTTTGGTTGCAATACCTGGATAAGTAGCGTCACAACACAATCTTATATAAAATATGGAAAAAACACATAACCTCAATTTCTGCCTAAACTATGTAAAATTTGAATAGGACCAAGAACCAAAGATTTCAAAAATGTCGAAATATATAACAAAGTTAATATCAAGGGGGACACTATATAAAAAAAATTATCATATTTTAAATCTTCAGGTGGACTTTTGTACGAAACTTTTTTTCTTATCTCTTCGTATAGTGGATTGTTTTATTTGGCACACGGTGTACATTCATCAATAAAAGAAATATTTTTTTAAAAAATCCTATCATTGTTTGCTTTTTCGATGATTCCAAAACAAAACGCTGCTCCCCTTTTTTCATCGCCTTCCCAGAGCTTTTCGTGTTTATAGGAAAAATATTTGTATTTTACAGCTTATCCAAGAATCATCGTACGAATCATTTTGTTTTCCTCCACATACCGTAAAATGTTCAAATCTCTATTGTCATTTGCAGTTATTTATTACTGTGCTTTTGGACTCGAATGGGGTAATAATACGTTTAATTATTTAATTAAAACATTTCAGACACTGTTTCCTGCCCAATACCACTTAATTATGGTTACTTTTTCTTCAGTTGAATAACGCATATTTAGGTTTAATTGAAGCGCGCTTAATAACGTATAACAATCACAAATAGAAATATTTTTGTTATCACGAATTTTCGTGTTGTCATTGTCAAAATGTATTTTACTGGTGTTCGGTTTATTACCTAACCTATAAAAATTTTCTAATTTTGCCATCATATTTAATTTAATAACTGAAGATTGGCTTATTAAAATTTATTCAAACTCGGTACATGAGTTAATCATTTTTAAAAATTATATTCCAACTTTGCTATAAAATGTACAGGGGAACTAAAAATTTACATGGGATTTCCTATGTTCCATTCCGGTATGTATATAGAATTCTTATTATCCACAATAATAATAAACCAAACAAAACCCACGCAGTTTGGGCTGATAACAATATCATAGCGTAGTTTCTTGGATCCAATAATTAATATTGGAGTTCTCTATAAAGCCAACGATTTTTTTCTTTTTTGTTCATGACTGTCTACCATTACCACATCCCTACCTCCTCAAGTTTGAATATTGTCTACTTATGAATGTTATCCGATCCGAAATCATTTGTTGATATTCATTTTTGATGAGAGTCTCCAACTCTAAGTACTCGAAGTCCTTGGTTAGGCGACCTGCGAGAACACAGAGCATGTCAAGTCTGTAGGCTATATGCAAGCCTGAAAACGCATGCTGTGTAGAATAAATTTTCGAAAAGCACTCACCTTAACTGACCGTAATAGACTATTAAATTCGGAATAGATAGCACCGGGATTAGCAGAAAATAGTGCACAAAGCCGAAAACTACCAAAACGTTTCTCAACAACGGAAAATGCTCGTCCAAATACAAGGCCAGGACATCTATTTCCGAAAATCCGAAGACGGCAGTTGCGAAATATACTAAAACTGCAACAATATCAAAGGCAAATAGAAAAGTACGTTTTTTAACGGCGTGGAGTAATAAAACGGTTTATTCCGTTCGATACGACCAAATAGGTAGAAAATTTACTTTGACAATCATATAATTTTGACAACTAAGTGTTTAATGTTGGTATGATTGCAATAATTTTCCCTTTTCAGTGCTTGAAAAAGGGATTGTTTTAATACTTTTTATAAAACGTCTGGATTCCTCCTGCATCGGTTTATGTTGAGTCCAACTAGCTAACTTTTCGCCAATCATCATGTTGATTTCTTCAGAGCTTGACTGAAACTAGCACGCATTTTACTCTGTACCTGCTTTTATATTGTTTGAGGGGGGCGGGGCTAAATGAAGGGCATAAACACCGTCTCGGATGACTGGTGACAGGTAGAGGCCTGAGTCGGGGTTAAGATTGTTGCTTATGGATTTATATAGATTCTCGGATTTTTCGTTGGTAGAAGAATTGATTACATCCAAGAATTTTAGTTTTATCGAATAAAATGTTATGTCGGTTTTAGTGAGTGTGTTGGTTGTGGTGAAGTGTATTTTGTGATGGAACGCTTAATATTAATGTTGAAATTATTACAGAGAAGAGCCGAGATAAGGTGATTTAATCCTGAGTTCAATGACTCGGGCTGAGATAGTTTTACGGCTCTGTAAACAAGAGAATTGATAACCAATGATTTTTGCGCCGGATGGTTAAAGTATCGGTCTGTGTGCGTATGTTATCTGTAAACACAATGACCCAATGTTAGCTCTGTGAACATCTAAGAATGGGAGGTTGTTTTTAGTTTCCATTTCAATGGTAAAACGTATGTTAGGGTGTACAAAGTTTAAATTCTAAGAAAATATACTAGGGATTCCTGACCATGAGGCCAAATAACAAAAAAAAACCATCATAGCGTTTCCATAATTTTGGTTTTTGATGTAAAAAAAAATAAATTCGTGATGACTGGTGGTAGTTTACAGAGCTGTAAAACTATCTCAGCAGTCATTGAACCCAGAATTAAAACACCTTAATTCTACTCTTCTCCGTTTCCATATTAACTATATTAATTTTTCCAATGCACTTCACCACAAACTTCCAATAGCATTGCAACCGAAAGCGATCCAATACTTGCCACAGTTGCCTTCCTTATATTCAAAACATCACTGACCACATATCAAAAGTTCTAAAGAAATATAACGTCAAAACCAGATTTACCACTTGTCCATAAATCTCTGAACATCTTCTGTGCGTCAAAGACAAAATTCCATTTGAGATGCCTGGATTTTACATTATTCCATGCATATGAGGCAAAGAATACATTGGCGAGACCGGACAAAAAATATCAACTAGGGTCAAAGAACATGAAAGAGCCATAAGACTAGGACAAATAAACACATCAGCAGTTGTCAAATACAATCACGAAACCGGACTTAAAGTTTTATTCGATAAAACTAAAATTCTTGGATGTAATCAATTCTTCTACCAACGAAAAATCCGAGAGTCAATAGAAATCTATAAGCAACCTAACAATCTTAACCTCGAGAAACTTTCAGCCAAGCTCTGAAGAGGCCAGCATGATGATTGGCGAAACGTTAGCTAGTTCGACTTAACAAAAACCGACGCAGGAGCAATCCAGAAGTTTTAGAAAAAGTACAACAGTAGCCTGTGGAAGTTTTTTTGAAGGATTGTTTTAATTGTATATGTTTTCGTTAAACATGATAATCATAGTTATTTTGCGGGAGTGCAAGCCCAGAGGTCAGCAAAAATCCCTGATGATAATACCCACCCCAGACAAATTTTAAAGGGAGTTATGAACCAAAATGTCTCAGGTTACTTAATTATTAGGCCTGTTATTAAAAACCTGTTTAGGATGACCAATGCAGCACGCCTTACTCTTATAGCCGGTACGATCTGCGATGGCATAGTCAGTCATAAAACCAAGAGAGAAGGTGAGTCAGTATTTATCTGCTTCCACACGTATACCTAATTTCTATATAACACTTGTTTTTACATATCAGCAGTTAGAACGAGTGCCCTGTTAATGTCACCTATTAATAAAATGTGCTCAAAGTATAATAAAATAACTAATCACTGTGGTCTGAATATCTCTTTTAAACTATTTATTTGAACCGCCTTGACTTACATATAATAGTTTGTTTTTTTTTTGTAACGATCAGTCGAACAACGTTGTTACCGGACAAAATCTTCAAACTGGCATCAAATTTTATTCTATAAAACTAAAGTCCTTGCATGTAATCAATTCTTCTACCAACGAAATATCTGAGAATCTATAGATTACATAGTTGAATCCACAGGTCGATACCTAGGTCCTTTAGATGGGTTAAATATCAAAATAGAGCAAGATTATAGGACTCAAAATTAAGGTGGTCCAAAAAAAATGTAAACTGTGGAAGTTTCTCTGAAAAAGTAGTATTGTTGCTGTCTACTGCTATATCTTTTATCTCAGAAGGAATCCAGAAGTTTTTTTAATAATAAACCATATTTACTTTGTATTTACTGCTACCACCACACAATTCGTCCACAGTAATAACAGGTGGTCGTATCGTTATATCAAGTGCATTCTCTTTTTCTTTCTTTTTCTTTATTATATTTTATATATATTATATTTTCTTTATGTGTTTCACAACTGATCCAATTTTCTTTGGTGGCTATCTGAAGAGATGCTTTCCAAACAGATATAACGGCAGTATCATCGTGCCTTGCCTCACTTTCAATATTTTTACTAAAAAATATGTGGTACTAAGCCCACACTAATTCTATAGCATTAAATATACAAGAAGGCAATCTTAAAACTATTGTTTTTCTGCGAAGCCAATTGGTAATTTCTTGTTTTCTTGTCGATATATATATTAGTCGTTCTCCTCTGTCATTTCTATTCTGCAGTTTCGAACTACAGTTCCTAGTCTACCCATAGCTACTTTGGCATTAAAATCCCCCAGTTTGAATCTTTGATCTATTTGTTTGTAAAATTCATCTATCTCGTTATCTGTTTTGTCAGCTGTTTGGGCATAAGCTTGAATAATGTTAATATTGACGGGTTTTCCAGAAGCAGTTCCTTACTTAGTTTTTAAGTTGTTTATCCAGAATTATTCCGCTGCTACTACTCCATTACCTAACCAGCGGACTTCACATACTTCCGCAATATTTTTATCTTATTCTGTTCACTGCTTGAGTTATGTATTTTTCCTGCAGCAAATACCGTTTTCACATTCCAGGTGGCTATCTTTGTAATGCTATTTAGTTGGAACCGGATGATTCTTCGCACCTCTTGATGACTTAAGATCTGCCCTGGACTGGAGGCCATTTGTTCTTGTTCTTCCAACGTAATAAGATTTTTGGATGGATGTCCTGGGGATATTTGTACAGATCCTTAATGCAGGTGCAGGTGAGGTTGTCATTCGGGTCGGCTTACTATTTGTTGCCATCACCCCTTACGCTTATACTAACAATTCTCTCTTAAATGCATACTACTCACCAGCATAGGTAATCTCTAACAATATCACCCAGTTGAGGAAAGGTAAAAGAGTAGTAGGGATTCGGACCTAATCTTTATCCAACAAAAAAGGATAATTCGATTAATATGGAACTAAAAAAGATGTTTTTAGCAATAAAAAAATTAAATTAAGTGACAAGAAGCGCAGACAATCACCTCATATTTTGGGAAAGGCGAGACGGAAAAAGGTCAGTAGGACGCCAATGTAAAAGGTGGAAAAATGCAATAGCTGAAGCCCTTAAGAAAATCGGGATAAGGCAATGGGAAATCAGTGCACAGAATCGACAATATTGGGAGGGGGATCGTAAACGCGACCAAAACTCACGATGTGTTACAGTGCCAGAGAAGAGAAGAAGAAGAAGAAGAAGTTATTTCTTAAACTATTAATTTATATACATATAATTAAAGACAACTTTCAAACAAGATCTGACATTGATTCTGATTGATTGATGACGTAGAAATTAGTAACCTGCTATATACGAAAATCGTATGAAAATATGAAAAATAGATAAAAATACAAAATCATCCGTTCGCTTGTTGAACTCCGACTGGAATCCTGCAGACGTTTCGCCAAAATCTCACTTGGCATCTTCAATGCTCGCGCTCCGAAAACACTTCGAACATGCCAAGTGAGATTTTGGCGAAACGTCTGCAGGATTCCAATCGGAGTTCAACAAGCGAACGGATGAAATCAAGGAATATAGTGTCATCACATTTTTCCATCCGTGAATCACTTCGTGAATATATATATATATATATATATATATATATATATATATATATATATATATATATATATATATATATATATATATATTATTGTTGTGTTTCTCTTTGTATTGCTATTAGTCATAAATATCTACTCTACCCAAAACGGTGTGAAATATAAACATCCTCTGCCACTTCTGTTCCTCCTCTTTAATCAATTTGTATGTGCACGCATCGGTGTCCTCGTAGCAACATTCTTTGGGGTCTACTAGCTTTTCTAGAGTGTCAAAATCAACCACACTATTGTAGTAGACACTTCCCACTAGAGCCTGAAACGGAACATTTTTTATAAATATTTTATTTATTTCAAATTAAAAATTAAATTTACTTATATACAACTGTGTTTTAAAGTTTTAATTAACAATCCAATTATTTATTATTATTACTGTGCACTGGCCTGCAATGAACGTAGATATTTGGGGACTTAAAAGAGATATCGGCTGAACGGAACCAAGGTTGCACACCTTAGGCTATAGTAAAATGCTGTTGAGAAACATGAAAACCATTAAATAAAGCAACATTTTACTGCAATAGTATCTAACGAAAACTAAACAAAAAAAGCAATTGAAACAGAACTAGTACGAAAATTATGGCATAAAATAGCGTGATTTCAAGTTGAACTAGTGCCTTCTACGTATTATCTCCCAAAAACTCCGTATCCAAGTTTTCACGTGGATATCTCAAAAATAGCTTATGCTATAGAGAAATAAATTTATCACCCTTTATGTCGCTACGAGCTAGTACAGTTGCTTTTTGGCGCATTCATTAAGGACCACCTTGTATAAAAATCCACCTCCTGCGGGATAATGTACAGGGTGGT